ACAAGGAAACGGTTCCCGATAAATACCCCATACCAATAATTGATGAATTGTTGGATGAATTGGGGGGTGCTCGAATTTTCTCTAAACTCGATTTGAAGGTCGGGTACCATCAAATCTTGGTACGACCCGAAGACGCTCATAAGACGGCGTTTCGAACGCATGAAGGACACTACGAGTTCTTAGTCATGCCTTTCGGCTTGACCAATGCACCGGCCACTTTTCAATCGTTAATGAACGATGTGTTCCGCCCATTTCTACGCAAGTTCGTGCTTGTCTTTTTTGATGATATACTTGTGTATAGCACGAGTGAAGAGGAACATGTTAGGCACTTGAAGGAGGTTTTAGCTACGCTCAAAGCTCACTCACTATTTGCTAATCTCAAGAAGTGTGAATTTGGGAAGGAAGTTATTGCTTATTTGGGGCATGTAATCTCCAAAGAAGGAGTTGTTGTGGATCAAGAAAAGATTCAGTCCATCAAGAAGTGGCCCACTCCAAAGTCTCTAAGGGACTTGAGAGGGTTTTTGGGCCTAACGGGCTACTACAGAAAATTCATTCACCATTATGCCCACATAGCCCAACCACTAACTGACCAACTCAAAAAGGATAATTTCGGTTGGTCAAATTTGGTAGAAGCTTCATTCCTCAAATTGAAAACAGCAATGACAGAAGCCCCCGTTCTTGTGATGCCAAATTTTCAGAAAATATTCGTGGTGGAGTCCGATGCCTCCGGCTTAGGATTAGGGGCGGTCTTAATGCAAGAGGGTCGCCCGGTGGCATTTTTCAGCAAGATGTTGGGTCCCGGTGGTCGGAGCAAGTCAATCTACGAGAAGGAACTCATGGCGGTGTGTTTGGCGGTGCAAAAGTGGAAACACTACCTATTGGGGCGGCGATTTATAGTTCGGAGTGACCAACAAAGTTTGAAATATATCACTCAACAGCGGGAGATAGGAATGGAGTATCAAAAGTGGGTACGGAAACTCATTGGGTTCGATTTCGACCTCCAATACAAACCGGGGGTTTCGAATCGGGTGGCCGATGCTTTGTCTAGGAGGGGAGGGGACTCCGAAAATCTGGAATATGGGGCTCTAATCTCTCGACAAGCAGTAGATTGGGAGTTACTAGAGAAAGAACTTGAAGGGGATGGGGAAATCAAGAAGCTGTGTGAAGCGGTGGGGAGGGGAATGGGCACCCCTGATACACAGTGGAGCAGGGCAAGCTGTTGTACAAGGGTCGAAGGGTAATTCCCAGGAATTCGAAATTCAAGTCATCATTACTTCGAGTTTACCACGACTCTCCAGAGGGTGGTCACAAAGGGGAGACTAAGACCTATTTGAGGGTGGCTGGAGAGTGGAGTTGGGCTGGAATGAGGCGAGACGTAGCCGATTACATTCGGGGGTGTGCTATTTGTAAACGCAATAAATTCTCGCAACAAACTCCGGCCGGACTACTTCAACCTCTACCAATTCCGGAGAGGGTGTGGGAAGACATAACAATGGATTTCATTGAGGGACTTCCTCGCTCCAAAGGGGTGGATACAGTGTTAGTGGTGGTGGACCGCCTTTCCAAATACGCTCACTTTATAGGCCTTAAACACCCGTTCTCAGCTTACACCGTGGCTGAAATTTTCATTAAAGAGGTGGTGAGATTGCACGGCACACTGACCGAGACAGAATTTTTGTGAGTAATTTTTGGAGAGAGCTCTTCCGACTTCAAGGGACTGACCTTAAGCGGAGTACCTCATACCATCCCCAAACGGATGGACAATCGGAAGTCGTGAACAAGCGACTAGAGACATACTTACGTTGTTTTGCAAGTGAGCAACCTAAGAATTGGGCTCGTTGGCTATCTTGGGCGAGTACTCATACAATACCTCCACGCACTCCTCGACTCACATGACCCCATTCAAAGTACTATATGGCAGGGATCCACCGAAATTGGTGAAAATAGGGGTTGGGCAGACGACAGTTGACAAGGTTGAGGAAGTCTTGCAAGAGCGGGATACTATGTTAGAGGAGTTAAAGATGAATCTAGTGCGCGCTCAACAGGTTATGAAGGAGAACGCGGACTCAAAACGGAGGGAAGTGGAGTATGAGGTGGGGGATTTTGTTTTCCTCAAGCTGCAGCCTTACCGGCAGCGATCGCAGACGGCCTTACGAGAAGCTCCGGCACGTTTCTATGGTCCCTTTGAGATTGTGCAACGAGTGGGTAAGGTAGCCTACAAATTGCTTCTGCCAGAATCATGCCGTTTACACCCGGTTTTTCATGTGTCGCAACTCAAACAAGCAGTGGGCAACGTTCCCAGCTCTCCTACAATTCCCACTCAAATCACAGTAGAGTTGGAGCTTGTGGTGGAGCCTGCCAGGTCTTAGATGTCAAGCCTAAGCTTGGTCGTCGCGACGGAATTGAAGTCTTAATCAAATGGCATGGAGTGCCCGAGTCTACATGGGAAGATACCGAAGCCATCAAGTCCAAATTTCCAGATTTCCACCTTGAGGACAAGGTGGCGCTCGTGGGGGCGGTATTGCAATACACCAGCCACCTCCTCCTGTCACTGTCGTATACCGAAGAAGACAAAAGCAGCAGCAAGGGCAGGACACCCTACCAACCCCAACACAAGCAACACAAGCAACGGCCCTTTGAGAGCAGAGTTGTCGGCCTATTTTACTATGGTAACTTTCGCTAGAGACAAATATTAGTAAATTAGCAATTAAGGCATTTGTCCATTTGTAATAGCTATTGTAGTAGTAGTATAAGTAGTAGAAATCAGAAGTAGGGAGGTATCCAGAAATTGTATGAAAGAACATTGAGAGTGATGGCCTAAAGCCATTAACGTTCATTTGCAAGCTTTAAGCTAATATATTACAACCTTCCGTCGATTAGTCTTGTTTGAATCCCACGCTCGTTGCACAGAGAAAATAGAGAAAGAAGGGATGATGAATCTTCAGGAGAATCAAAAGGCCTGCGATGCCGAGAAAATAGAAAAAGAAGGGATGATGAATCTTCAGCTCTGTGATGCAGAAAAAGAAAAGAAGAAAGAGAGGAGAAAGGTAACATACAACTAAGTTCAGGTGATCCTTTTAAGTGATTCTGTTCTTTTTCATAATTATTGGGTTGATCATTATATCCCAATATTGACCCTTAAAGACCCTACAAAAGCCTTGTCTAATAAGATAGTTGATGGGTCATAGCCCTTTTAACATGGTGTGATCCTAGTTCCCATTGAATTGCCATGTCCAACAACCAGGTATAGCTGTTTAGGTAAACATAATCAAATTCTTAAAATGGTTATAATCGCCAATTATGGAACTTGGATAAACCTGAGCCATGATCCAGGAGTCTTGACATGCAAAATGTCAGAGATGTGGATTAAGCAATGAGAAGAAGCTTAACATGGAGACACTGTCAACATATATTCTAACTTTACCAGCTTGATTTTTAATCTGTTAATGTGTGAGAACAGCCGTGTCCAGAAACTATGTCAACATGGGTATAGCCTAGTGACGAGTCCAAGCATAAATGAACAATAAGTTGTCAAATATCACCATATGTGTATTCAATATTAACCTTTTGGGTACAAAAACCCGCCACAAATTGTGATACAGAGTTGGGTATCAAATCCAAGGTTGGAAGCTAAGTTATCTACAGGTTCCAGTTAGAGGAAATATTCTTTCAGAGGCAGCATTTAATTGCATCAAGAGGGTAGATTCATTGAAAGTCTATATATTCCTTTGGATGTATCATTATGCTTTTCACAAACTTTGTCATTCATCCTTTTGTGAAATTCTAATCAAAGAGTATAATGAGGGATCTTTGTGGCTAAGAAGCAGGGTTGGTGCTACGAGGAAAAAAATGTATCTTATTATGACAGATTTGGTACGTAGCAAGGAGGTAAGGGTAATAGCAGATTGGTATCAAAACATATTACTCGTAGTATTATTACAAAATAGTGCTTATGAAATTTTCTTCTTCCGCTTGAGGCCCATACAGCATATTGTTACTGAGAGCAAAGATAGATTGTGTCAAACTGGATGTCCGGATGAAGGTGAGGGCTTTCAGGTCAATAGCAGACTCTACTCACACATCTTTCAACACTATCATATGGCATTCTATCTATTGAGGCTGTATTCTGTGCAAGTTGGAGCAGGGGTGGATCTTTGTAAGGACGGGCAAGGGCCTGGCCCCTCCTAAGCCTAAGTATTTTTGAGCTGTTAATTATAACTAATATGAATAATATGATGTCTATTAGTTGCATGAAATAAGTTGTGGCATAGTGGTTAAGTATTGAACTATTGATACTTTTGAGCAAGGGCTCAATGACACAGATCAAAACTTGGAAACACTTTTGAACATACCTAGAACAATTGAGGGCAAAATTGGTGGATTAAGTGACAATATGAGTGAAGACTGGAGACCCAAGTTATTTGTTCATGGTGGAAATTATTTCAACAGTATAATAATCGTGTACAAGCAACCCCGAGAGTTCTCTTCACCCACTTCAATCGCCTAATATACTAGCCAGACTCCACGACATAATCCTTATATTATCAAGATGTCTTGTTTAACTCAAATCTCTCAATTTGAGTCTACTTTTTCTTTAGGTTAATCATATTTTCACGAATAGACAAACCACATAATACTTCACATTAGAAATATCAATTCAATCCTCAATACACCAACATAAGAATTTCAGTTCAATCTCACTCAAATTCATCCTAGAACAAATTTTACACACTTTTACAACAATCAATCAAACTAATATCAACCAATAGTCACAAATGTCAATTCAAAACCCAACAATTCAACCATTCAATTTCAAACACACCATCTTTTCAATTCAATTCCTAATCAAATCATTCTTCAACAAATGCCACAACAATAAAACAATGCAAACATAATTTAATCCAAAACCCTAAAACTCAAACCACGTATTAAAATCAAACGAAACTCAGCAAAATCAAGTAAACCCAAAAAACAAAAATTAGGGTTTCAATTCCAATTACCTCTATTTACAATAACGATCAGCCTTCTTCTTAACACGATCTTCAAGAGCTTCTTCAACAGACTTAGATTTAGCAGCTTTAGGATCATACCCAAATTTCTTAGCCTCGACAGGAAAAAGATCATCATATTTCATCTTTTTGGCAGCATCAATGGTGTAAATACCATCTCCAGAAGCAGTATCAATGGCGGATTGTTGTTCATCTAGAATATCAGATGGTTGAATTTCTTTGTTTTTCTTCTTCTTTTTCTTCTTGTCAATGGTTTTTGCGCGAGTTGCTAGTTCTCCACCTTTGAAGCTTAAGCGACCTCCTTTAACTCTCTCGTATGGATTGTCTGACATCTGCAATGGCTGTTTAGAGGCGTTGTAATGGCGGTGGTAGAGGAAGGAGTACAGTGGTTGAGGATGGAGAGAAAGGGTGGAAGATAGAAAGGCTGAAACAAATTTCTAAGGTTGAATTTGGGATTCTATTACCCAATTCTCCAGGCTAAAAAAACACACATAAGGGATACTTCCGTAACACACCGCTTGATAGAGGTTACTCTTAGTAAAGAAACCGGGTCAGGTGAGATCGGGTCGGACTATAACATCAAATCTCATGCCTGAACCTATAAAAAAAAAAAAGCGGAATTTTCACCAAATACCACTGAGTTTTTACATAATTCACCAAATACCACCAACATTTTTCAAATTCACCATATAACATTCAGTTTTATAAAAATGTCACAAAATATCATTAATGACTAACGGACGTTAACACCGTTAGTCATCAAGGCTAATAATGTCACATGGCATCTTGTAATTGGTTCCTTCTAAATTACTTAATTTTAATATAAATTATTTAATTAATTATCACAAAAAAAAATTCCAGCCACCACCAATGTGCCCTAGCTAACCACCACCCTATCTCGACACCCCCGCCCCCGTCGGCACGAAATCCGACCAGAAAACCGACCACAACCCCTCGCTGGCGCTCCTCCCCTTCCCTTGAATAACTTTGCCCGCATCTCTCTCGAAAAACACTAAGTACCATACCCTCATCACTCGAAAAACCCCAAACCCCCCTCGAAAAACCCTCCCTAACCACCAGCCAATGCCCAAACCTCCCTCCCCTTGTGTCGGAGAACGAATTTGCCTCGGTCAAGTCCCACATCTCTACCCAAATGAACCACCATATACGCCGAAACCCTAAAACCAAAATCTAGGGTTTTGATTTTGTTGTTTTAGGGTTTCATGGTGGTGGTTTTCGTGACGTTGGGTAGCGGCGATACATGTGGGAGAGGGTTTGGGATTCCGGCAAAAGGGTTACAGGGTGGTGGGTTGGTTTCTGGCAAAGGTGGAAAGCTGCAAAGTGGTTGAATTTGGTGAAGGTGATGGTTGGGGATTTCGACTAAGGTGGTGGTTAGGGTCAAGGTTGTCGCCGTCAAGGGAGGGGGATGGTCGTCAGCCAGCCAGAAAATGATTGGGGTCGGAATCGTCACCGACGGGGGTGGCGGTGGCTTGCACTGGTGGTGTTTTAATTTTTTTAATTTTAAAAATATTTTTTCTAAATTAATTAATCAAATAAATAATATTAATAAGAACCAATTACAAAGTGCCACATGGCACAATTAACGTTAATGACTGACGGAGTTGACTGAAATGGCATGTTGTGACATTTTTATAAAACTGAATGTTATATGGTGAATTTGAAAAATGTTGGTGGTATTTGGTGAATTATGTTAAAACTCAATGGTATTTGGTGAAAAATTCGAAAAAAAAAAGTGATCGGCATAACTAGCCTACATGATATACTAATAGTCGATTATCAAAAAAAAAAAAAAAGATAGACTGATAGTTGATTAGGGGATTTTTATCCACCAATCACCGTCTGACAAGTGGACCAACCAGGTTCCGCCACGTGTCCTTCACGAAGGACAACAGGAGCCTGCCACGTGTCAATCACAGATACGTCCTCTACGGACCACTTTAGACACGCCACGTGTCCACCCATGCCAAATGGGAAAACCGGCCATCAAGGCCCAATCCAGTCTAGAGGCCCGATCAGCCCTAGGTTTACCCTAAACCTAAAGAGGTGGCACGCTTCTCAAGGCTATAAATACTTAATTAATCCTCATTAATCAGACGATCGAATAATCAAGAAATCAGGCAGAGAAGAACAGAGTTATTAACAACCGGCTAATCTCGCTAACGACGCAGATTACCAACACTAAGCACTCTCACCTAGAGAGATCTCATTACTTTAATTTCTGTATTAATTACTCCTTAATCAGGTACTAACTTGACCGTTGGAGGCGGAGCTCTCAGGAGTCTCCGTTATTTTGCAGGTACAGGCGTCCGGTTCCAGTCTCGGAATTGTAACTCTCCCGCAGGACATCAGAAAACCCCGAAACATTTTGGCGCCGTCTGTGGGGAGAGTACTTCAGAGATGGCATCCAAGTCTGTACCGACTCCAGAAGAGAGGCGTCCCCTAGACGACCCTCAAGTTCAGTCGGACCATGATACCGAAAGTGAATTTGAAGTTGAAACTCATACAGCTCCAGACGGGACCCTAAGGGCCCGACGTACCCGCCATACCGAAAGGAGGGAACGGGAGCATCTTCAAACAGGAAGCGAGCCAGCAGGCGCACCGCTTGCTCGGCAACAGCCGACTGATGGGTCTGCTCCCATCACAAGGAACGAACTCATGACCTTCATGAGGGACTTCAAGGGAGAGATTCACGAGTTGATCAACAAAAAACCGCCTGCTTCAGTCAAAGAGCAGTCGGCCAAGAAACCTTCCACTTCACTGAAGAGGAAGCCAGTTCAAGGGCGAGAGGCGACTCCCCATCCTAAATCCAAGAAGCGGGAGCCACCTGCTCTTGATTTTACAAAACTCCGTTATCCTACGGGAAATAGGAAACCGGTTCGTCATATTCAGGCGGACGGGTCAAAGCAAACGTTCACAGATGCTCGGCTCCTGCTAGAGCAGAAGAAGAGTGACCGATTATCAGAGTCGGCTTCTACTTCAAATTTTCAGGACAGTTTGCGAAATGCCTCGATGAGGCATACTCAGTCGTACCATGAGAGTCAGTCAGGCGGCACCTCCCGTCAGTCCGGCTTTCATAGTGCCCAGGCGGTACCAAACTTACCATTTGTGCCGCAACAACAGTATTTTATGCAGCCACCTCCATTTGGTGGACCTGCAGCAAAAAACGTCCAACCTATGGACTGGCAGCTACGGCTGCTTAGACTTGGTGAACAGCCGTCGGCCTTCTCCAAGGAAATTACTGAAGCCGCTCAGCCGGCCAAAGTAAAAAATGTTCTAGTAGGCGCCTATGACGGCACTACTAACCCAGAAGACCATCTGATGGCATTCACCAACCTGATGTACCTTCAAGGGTTGGATGATCCCACTTGGTGCAAGTGTTTCCCAGCGACTCTCAAGGGAATTGCACAGCAATGGTTCGGCAACCTGCCGACTGGTTGTGTAAACAACTTCAGGACGCTTGCTTACTTATTTGCCTCCAACTTCGCTATGAACATCCCTGCGAAGAAAACGACCCTTGATTTGGGAACAATTCAGCAGGGCGAGAAGGAGGGGCTTCGTTCTTACATCAGGCGGTTCAACCTGATGAGAATACAGATTCAAGGGTTACCGGATGAGGTAGCTTATACTGACTTTTTTAGAGGTCTCAAAGACGGGTCTACCTTTAAATTTGATTTAGTTCGAAAAAGGGTGGCGACTCTTCAAGAGGCCTTGATTGAAGCAGAAGCCTATATACAGGCGACTGATCTGTGTACGATAAAACAGTCGGACGGGAAGAGGTTCGACAAAAGAGAGGGACGACAGAAACAGTCGTCCAACAAAGATGAGAAAAGAAAAGAGGTCTGGGCGGCTGATTCCTCTAAACAGCCGACTCAGAAAAAGAAAAAAGAATTCAAACCATACTCCCCGAAGTATGTGTTTAACAAGGATAACCAGTTTATCCTAAAAGAAATAAAGGGACGGCTCTCAATTGAGAAGCCGCTCCCCATGAAGGGTTCTGCAAGCAACCGGAACCAAGACAAAATCTGTGCTTATCATGATGACGTTGGTCATCACACCAATGACTGCATCAGTCTCATGCGGTACCTAGACCGCTTGGCTGATCAAGGTGATCTTGACACTTATGTCAAGAAATCTACGGGGAACACTTCCTCAAAAAAGCAGTCGGCCAAAAAGAATCAACAGGCCGACAGTTCCGATACAGATGATGCAGTCGTCTACACCATTGCAGGCGGCTTCTCAGGAGGCGGCCCCACTATTAGGGGCAACAAAGATAATATAAGGCGGTTAGATGTAAATTCCGTTCACCAAGAACGGCCGTCCAAATATACATTTCCTGAGATTGTCATCACTGAAGAGGATCTAGGAGGAATAAGGGGGCCGCATGACGACCCTCTCGTTATTGAATGTAAAGTGGCCAACCAGAGAGTTGGCCGAATCCTCATAGATACCAGGAGCTCCTCAGATCTCATCAGCAGCAAATGTCTGTCAAAACTGAAATATCAGACGGACTGCATACATCCGGCCTCCCACCCTTTAATAGGGTTTGGAGGAGGAGTCGTCCACCCACTGGGACGAGTAGATCTACCCATTCGCCTGGGCGAAAAAGGGGAAGGACGACACATGGTAGTCCGGTTCCTAGTGGTAGAGGAACTCTCGGCCTACAACATGATTCTGGGTCGACCAACCCTGAATAATTCCAAGGCTGTTATAATCCCGTCACTTATGCTGCTTAAGTTTGAAAGGGATAATGGAACAGTCGGCTCCCTAAGGGGAGATCAGAGGATGGCCCGAGAGTGCTATCTCTCGGATGTCAAGCCCACCGTTATGGCCACTAGGTCAAGTGGAGAAAAAACAGACCTTGACAATGTCAAGGAGAGTGTGCCTGTTCAAGAAACAGGCGACAAAAAAAGAAAGGCGTCCCAAACAGAGTCCGCAAGGAAAGCAAGAAAATAGCAATCATTGGCAGAGGAGCGGCCGGATGAGTTCCGCCCTCAGCCGGCTGGTGAGCATGCGGACCTGATATTAGACGACTCCCGTCCTGACCGAACAGTCAAAGTTGGGACGACTGCTCTGAGAAACCTTGGTGACGACTTTCACAACCTGTTGAAAGAGTACAAGGACATCTTTGCATTTGAAGTCCATGAAATGCCAGGCATTAGTCCTGATCTGGCAGTACACAAACTCGCTGTGGATCCGAAAAAGAAGCCGGTACGGCAAAAGAAGCGGAACCATGGTGAAGAAAGAGGTCAGGCGGCAGCCGCCGAAGTCAAAAAATTACTTGATGCAGGGTTCATTCGGCAATGTTACTTCCCAGATTGGGTTGCAAATGTGGTGCTTGTTAAAAAGCCGAATGGCACCTGGCGAATGTGTGTAGACTACACAGACTTGAACAAGGCGTGCCCTAAAGACAGTTACCCTCTGCCTAAAATTGATAACCTGGTCGACTCAACAGCCGGACATGCGTTGATGAGTTTTATGGACGCCTA